GAATAATGAAATCATTGTAGCTATTCTCAAAGCATTACGGGAACGGGAATACGGAACGGGAACGAAACTTTTGTTACGGGAACGGGAATACGGGATCGGGAACGAAAATTTTTGTTACGGGAACGGGAACGCGGGAACGGGAACAAAAATTTTCAATACGGGAACGGGAACACGGGAACGGGAACCAAAAAAAGTTGTTCCCGCAGGTCTCTAGTTTGGTGAGCACACATATTGGGATAAATCCATGAGAAGTGTATCTCCATATGAAAATTTGTTTCTTAAACATATTTCAAATATTGGATTGCTTCTGGATCATCAATAGCCTGTAATCAATATGAAGACTGATATGTGTACCTATAATTTTAAGATTCAGATCTCTTTTGAAGGAACATCAGCAAATGCACAAAGTCTTTCACATTCTGAGAAGGTTTTATTTAAGAGCTCCTCAGCAACGAACTTTGTTATTTTTCATTCGTTTTCAACCAAAATGTCAGAGAATGTTAGCCTTGACTAGAACAGCTTATGCTTAAAATATCTTCCCCAAATCTCCGAGAACTTCATAAGTTCTAGTTAATTCATTAGTCTTTATGTGGACAAGGATTTCACAAAAATGATACGAGCTAACATGCCGGAGCGATTTCCAGGTTGTAGAGTGTCCGAAGGGCTAGATCGTAATATAGCCCGAATTTTGAGTATTTGTTCCTTTGCTTGTTAAAAATTCTTTTCACAAAACTTCTTGAATGCATGACCAAACAAGGTCACTGATCAAAACAAAGGACCTACGGTTCTTATTTCAACTAAAGAGAAATTTAAAAATCCGGCTCTATTATGACCTAGTCCTACATGTCTCCTGTATACTAAAACAAAAATTATCACTTCCATGCCGAGTCATTATGGAGAAAAAGCTTGCCCGCGTAAACTGCATGCGCGAAAAAGCTGATTTTGAGAAAAACGGAAAATAAGTATTAGAAATCGACTTTTCTGAAAATCATCTGATTTATATATCAATGTTCGAGACAAGCTATAAATTTATGATCTTCACGTTACTTATTGATTAGTATCAGTGATTGGACCAGTAAAAGTACACCAAGTAAAAGTACAAGTACTTTTTACTTAACCACTGTACTTTGTACCTTAATTCAAGTGTACTTTAGTACAATTTGTTGTACTCTTGTACTGGTACTGAGTACAACTGTATTTAAGTAATTTGTACTTTAGTACCGGTACTGAGTACAACTGTACTTAAGTAACTTGTACTTTAGTACCGGTACTAAGTACATTTGTACTCAGTATCGGTACTTAACGGACTCTATTCGAGTACAACTTCGTATATTGTTTTGACTAATATTTTTCATATTCTGATCTAATATTTTCGTAGTCCAATGACATCTTCAATAAAGTGAAATAGAACATAACACCATCATTATCATAGAATCTGGTAATCAGTATAAATTGAATAGAATACATGTTTTTTTAACTGATAGATGAATAATAATACATGAGGGATATAGAAGCTGAAAAATCATAAAACCTAAAACTTATTGGTGCATGAGACATGATCATAGCTTCAACGACTTGATCCTTAACCAAAATGCTAATTTGTAATTTTCTCTGAACAAAGCTTATTACTTTAGATAGATTTATTAATAAATCGCTATCTGGCGGGGATGTGGGTGCGACAGCGGATAAGCAAAACAACAGTACCCATCCCACATCCACATCTATACCTACATCCCACATCCACATCCACACCCACCTACACTCACATCCAAACCCACACACACACCATACACTCACCCACACCCACCCCCACCCACATCCTAGCCACGCACCCACACCCACTCCACACACACAAACCCCCACCCCACCCACATTCACACCCACACCCTCAATAGTTGATTTATCTAATAATTCTATTTGCTGCTTCTCATTGAACAATTTCTTTCAATTGTATTTATTCTGATAAATCCATGTTTTATTCTTATAGTCAAATGTATTTATAACTTAGAATTATTAGACCAGGAAGAAAGACTCTTTTTCAAGTAAATTTGTACTTATGTACTGCGTACTAAGTACAGGTTTACTTAAGTAAAGTGTACTGCAGTACCAGTACGAAGTACGAATATCTTAAAGTACCAAGTACTAAAGCATCAGTACAAAGTACACTTTTTAAGTAAAAAGTATATTTACCTGTACTTCAACATGTGTACTGGGTACTGGGGATTTTTAAGTAAAAAGTACAAAAAGTACCAAGTATTGTATTAAGTATCCAATCTCTGATTAGTATAGAAAAAAAAAAACTTTACGAAATGTTGATACAAAGAGAAAGCAACCAAAAAATCGAAAAAGCTTGGGAAAAACCCGTAAAAATTTCTCCAAAAATAGGACATTAGGAGCTAAGTTTCAGACAATAAGTTCGTCAAAATCAATTCACTTTTTGATAAACACAGATAATCTGAAAGAGGAGACTTCGATGCATCTTCTTATGATAAAGCTTCAATATCGACTCACCTCCGAAAACTTGAAATTTTTAAGGGGGGAAGCGCTTGAATAAATTTTATTTAAAAAATATTTTCATTTCGAAAAGATAGTAAGATGAAATTTAGCAGAAGTATTGTAAAATTCTAGAAACAGGTACAACTTATTAATAATTTTCCTACTTCTGAGTCATCTTTAGGAAGAATGCCCGTGTTGAATGTTCATGTACGGATTTTTTACTCTGTTGGCATCAACCGAACAGTTTGTTGCGTATGAAATTGTATATTCACTAGAGGTCATGCGTCGTGTTGAGTAATAATACTAGAACTTTTAGGTTTCGATTCGTCATGGGAGAAAAACACATACATGTAGTAAAAATAATAAAGAAAATCACCAGTCAATTTACTTTATAAAAGTCGAGTAATCACCTATTTCTTGAAAAGTGTTTATATATTCTTGAGCAGTTTGACATACATTGGTTAATCGTTCATTTTGCTAAAACAATCTCTTGTATAATTTCAACTTAGAACCTAATTTTATCTATATGTGTGCTTGATCGGAGTTTACTTCATAACTGTTGTCTTTTAAGATTTAGAATGAAAAGCTGTACCGCAGATATTTGCTAGTATCCTATCACTGGTAAGATCCTGAATTCGATAATAACAATACTAAACTGCATATGGTTGTGAAAAGTAGGCAGATCATTTTTTAAAACTCTTTTTCATGTAACGGAACAAAGAGAGCAATTCTATCCGTTTTGACCCTTTTTAGAAAAGATTTCAATTTTGCTCTTTATCTTAAAAGTGAATGTGAAAATATTTTTTCGGACAACAATAACGAATTTTGTTTCCTTATGTTTTACGCTAGTAATGCGAACGAAAATTAATAGTTTTTCATCTGAGATCATGACTATAATGTGGAACGTCTATAAATGGAGAGACGTGACGAGATCCTTAACGTTTGTCTCGGAAAAATATAGATTAATTTTTTTCATATTTTTTGATTTGAAAACATACAAGAAGTGCCGTCTCTAACCGAAACAGCACTGTTAGAATCTTCTCACACATACGCGTCATATCATGAGCAATATTTTGACACCCAGAAAAGAGCACATTTATTATTTTTTTACTAACGAAATCTTCACTTTAATTTATTTGCAGACTGAGATTCGAGACACGCAAGATCTGGTGAATAGAAGACTGAAGCTACAATGGGTATCGCAAGGACTTAAAATATCACAAATGAGTAAGTAGGAATCGACTTCAGCAATAGACTCTTATATAAAAGTATCTTTTTCACACATTTTGTAACTCTGCTGTGCAGAGAACATCCGAAAGTCTTAGAAGCAAAAGAAGTGTAACGAATTTTTTGAAAAGAGAAAAGAGAAATAAATCTCATTCTCTGCCTATCCTCTGGTTTATACAATAGTAAACCCATTATGCATTTATGCATTTCCTTTGGTTTTTATGCTTCTATTATTGTGGCAGTCGTATTACTTCGCTAATTTGACCACTGATAGCTAGTTCACATAGTTCATTTCAATCTGAAACGTTGAATGAATGTACAACTTGTTAGAAATCATTGTCTAGCGTTAACAATTTTTCTCGCACTTGAGTATAAGGCGTTGACGTTCAATACTATTGGAGGTCTTAGTGTAAAATTCTAATTGGATCAGGAACAAAATAAATACTTCTTTCCAAAGACAATAAAGGAAATTTTTCTTTTCCTTTGATTTATACAAATGCATTCATCCAGAAAATTTTATCATGCAATAATAATCTATATTTTTTAGTTTTCCGAGTAGAACAGGAGGAATCGATTTGTGTAAAATAATAGTGTCATACTCAATGTTTACTTATTGTATACTCTTTAAAAAAGAAATATTCTTGAGAGCCTTTGAAGCATTTCCAGTTTTATTAATACGTAAAGCTGTTTTAGGGTATTTGCGCATAGATCTCCGAGGATCGAAAGCCCAAATCACTCACCTAAAATTGACCATACTAACGTGATCAGCAAGTATACTTTACTACATCAAATAAAGTAAACCAGTCTTATAAGTGAATCCTTGAAAATGAGTCTATGCATACTCATAAGTGAAAGATGTTTTTTATTGTGTACTCAAAAAGTGAGTACACTCTAGAATCGGTCAGCGTGTCCGTCCGTCCGTTAACACGATAACTTTTGAAAGGAGAGTCCAATCGCGATGAAATTTTCTACACAGTTCAGTCTTAACAATATCTCGATCGAGTTCGAAGATGAGAAGGACCGGCCGAGCCGTTCCTGAGTTATTGCAAAAATACCCATTTTTCCCTACAGCTTTCTGTGGAAAAATGGACCCATCGCGACTTTCGTAAAAGACTTTTCCTATCATAGTCAATTAAAACCCCAACTATTACATACCATTCGATAGAGAATTTCAAGAACTACAAAATGATATATAAAACATAAAGAAACAAGAAGGTTGACTTACCTATGACAAGGATAATTAAAGAGAACTAGGTTATATTTTGGTCTACAATCTAATGGATCCACAAATAGAGCTTTATCTTCCGGTCACACTGATGATACTTCGAGGTTTTCAGATATGGAGAACTCGAATGTGTACTGCACTTCCATCGAAATACTATTAGTTGTGCAGTGACCAATAGAAATGAAGTTATAGGAAAAACGACTTTCTTAGGGTAAATCAAGGGAAAAAGTTCAGACTTGAGCTGTATTCGGTCCCATGTCCTATTGGTTTGGCAACGTGCAATAGAAATCAACATTTTAAATGGTAGATTTCACGGTATAATTTTGATATTCAGACAGTCTAGGATGATTGATTTGTATGATTCACTTTTTGAAGTACACATAACTCTCGGATTTAAATCCGAAGTTTCCGCAGTTATTTTCTATAAGAAAGAAAAAATAAATAAAATAATTCCATTTCTTTCTCTTGACTTTAATTTACCAGAAATCTTCATATAACAAATTCTTCGAAAGTTTGACATTAAATAACTAATACTTTCTCTCGTGTATGAGAGACAAAAAATCTCTTCAATAACGACGTTTCTTATTTTTTCTCTTTTCTTCATTGTAGTTATTCCTAATATTCCAATCGATGCTCGTTGGTCACCGAATGGAAAGACCGTTGCTGGAGGGAATCGATCGGGTGATGCCACAAATCAACTCAACCGCCCTCATGGTCTCTTCGTTGATGATGATCAAACGATGATCATTGCTGACTACGTGAATAATCGTATCGTCCAATGGAAGATGGATGATAAGAATGGACAAGTTGTAGCTGGAGCAAAGGGCTACGGAAATCGAATGGATCAATTGGATAGTCCAACTGATGTGCTGATCGACAAAGAGATTGATAGTCTCATTATCTGCGATTGGCGGAATCGACGAGTTGTACGATGGTCTCGTCGTAGTGGTACAACTGAAGGAGAAATTCTCGTTGATAACATCACTTCTTGGGGATTGTTCATGGATGATCAGAGATATCTCTATGTCTCTGACATCGAAAAACATGAAGTAAGACGATATCAAATAGGAGACAAGAAAGGAATTATCGTGGCTGGTGGAAATGGAAAAGGTGCTGATCTCAGTCAACTCAACTACCCAACCTACATCTTTGTCGATCAACAACAGAGTGTCTACGTATCAGACAACGGAAATCATCGCGTAATGAAATGGAATAAAGATGCAAAAGAAGGCATTGTCGTTGCTGGAGGTCAAGGTGAAGGGGATGCTTTGACACAATTGTCTTGTCCTATGGGACTCTTCGTCGATGCGTTGGATACCATCTATGTAGCAGATTACCGTAATCATCGAGTAATGCGTTGGATTAAAGGAGCAAAACAGGGTACTATCATTGTGGGTGGAAATGGTGGAGGAAAAGGAGCAAATCAGTTCAATTGGCCTCGTGGTTTGTCTTTCGATCGACTAGGCAATCTCTATATTGGCGATCATGATAATGATCGTGTTCAATTTTTTTCAATTCAATAAATTGCATTCGAATCGAAAGAATTGTTTCTTTTTTGTGTTTTTATTCACGCGCGCGCGCGACCAGGAACCACCCTGGTGGAGCCATGGCGACCGTAATGGTCGTACACGCGCGGGAAGACTCATATCATTCACATGTGCCCACACGGTAACATGTGTCAGTGAGCCTGGGACCCCGTCGTGCTGCCATGGACACCAATACAGTTCCTGGCCAGTGTTTAACGTCTAACCTGAGATGATGATCTGGGTGTGGGTGTGGATGTGGGTGTGGGTGCGGGGTGTGGGGTGTGGATGTGGGTGTGGGTGTGGGTGGGTGTGGGTGCGGGGTGTGGGTGTGGGTGTGGGTGCGGGGTGTGGGTGTGGGTATGGGTGTGGGTGTGCGGGTGCGGGTGTGGGTGGGTGTGGGTGGGTGTGGGCGTGGGTGTGAGTGTGGATGTGGGTGTGGGTGTGGTTGTGGTTGTTAGCCATTGAAGTAATCATACTGGCACCATCCCACACCCACCGAATACAGATATATATCACCTCGTATTTTTGCTTTATACGAAAATTATTCATGTGAAGTAGAGAATTGTTTGTCAATATGTCATGATTGAAAACAACGAGAGGTTCAATTGTTGAATCGTTCGAATGAACACTTCTGGTTCGATTAATAATTGAAAAATATCTTCTAAATTTTCATCAGTCATCCATGACTTCATTTTAAACTAATCAACTTTATATACTTATGTGTTTTTTTTCAAGTTTTTCGATTACATAAATAGATATTGCTGCTCTATGACTGTCGTTTTCATTTCAACGACGAATCTAAGGATAAATAATTCTTAAATCGTTGCAAGGTAATTATGCTTTGCGGTGTGTTTCAATCTGTTTAAAATATTTTTCTGCGTATCGAGAGAAAACGACCTTGCCTTTTTTCTCACATTTGCTTGTTTAACATCAACTTATTCAAAAAGTCCATTTCTTGCTTCGAAATAATCCAGTCGAATATTTATTCAAGTATAACTATGCTTCTTCAATTTCATTTTCATCTGCTATAAAATTCATGCTTTCAAAACGAATGACTTGAATTTATGGAAATAAATTATTCACGAAGCTTTTTTAGAGCTAGTAGCACTTTCAGAGATTCTGTTAGTTATAAGTTGTTTTGATCATTCTTCTTGTTTTTTTTTAGACGAATAAGACACACTGAGTATTTTTAAATTCAAAAACAAATCAACATCGGAGATCATCAAATATGAATTTACAAACTCATGCACTCTTGAATTTTCTCCATTTCTTAAATCAACAGAACGTTGGCGTAAAACGAAATGATTCTTTCTCCAGTAAACAAATTGTTAAATAAACATTACTCGATGGATTTAATACCGATGCACATTTAAGTTTCAATTTTCAATAATCATCGGTGGTGAAAGAAGCAAAACAATATGTTTTTGTTGATTATCGCAGTATTACTCGGCTCCGCTTCCGTTATTCATGGTAAACATTGAATTCATAGTTTTTCTTTCCCATTGAATGAAGACTATTTCTATTCCATAGGTCAAACATTAAAATACTCATCGAGTTGTACAGTTGACTTATGCTCGAATAATTCTACATCAAATATTGGTTGTTCATCATCACCAATCTGCTATCAATTCAAAACATCAAACAGTACAATCCTATGTGCACCTCAAGTCGTTTGTTCTCTTTTTGATGCATGTATAAGTAGTACAAGATGTGCAACTAATAACAGTGTTTGTGTTATCAATAGTTGCTGTTCAACACCAATATGTATGCCGGTAGCACTGTCCAGTAGGGGTGGCACTTTCACTTTCTTTTTACTTTCAAAAAGGAAAGGAAAGGAAAGCTTTACTTTCCTTTCTTTTAGGAAAGGAAAGTTTTTACTTTCCTTTCCTAAAAGAAAGGAAAGTTGAAAGAAAGTTAACTTTCCTTTCCTAAAAGAAAGGAAAGGAAAGTGAAACCTTTAGGCCTTCAAGTCCTATATAATGAGGGTACTCCTGGGTCCCCAAGTCCTATATAATGGGGTACCCTTAGGTCCTTAAGTCCTATATAATGAGGGTACCCTTAGGTCCTTAAGTCCTATATAATGGGGGTACCCTTAGGTCCTCAAGTCCTATATAATGAGGGTACTCTTGGGTCCTTAAGTCCTATATAATGAGGGTACCCCTAGATCCTCAAGTCCTATATAATGGGGGTACCCATAGGTCCTCAAGTGTTATATAATGAGGGTACCTACAGGTCCTCTAGGAGTACCATATAGGAGTGCCCGTAGGTCCTCAACAGCTGTGTTATAGAGGTTTCCGTTTGGTACTCCTATATAATAGGTCTTGAGGACCTATGGGTACCACTGTGTAACAGCCCTTCAGGACCCATGTGTACCCTCATTATATAAGACTTGAGGACCTAAGGTACCCCACAGAAAGAGCTTGATAAGAAAATCCAAAAGAAGGTGAAAGAAAGTAAAAAGAAAGTAAAAGAAAGTAGAAAGAAAGTAGAAAGAAAGTAGAAAGAAAGTGAAAAGTGAAAAGAAAGTAGAGAGAAGGTAGAAAGAAAGTTTTAAAAAGTATAAATAAGAGAAAAGATAATGTTGCAAAGCAAAATCGCTTAAGGGAGACCCCTTCTCAGAAATTTATTTTCGTTTTAGATTATCCAATCTTGATGAAATTTTGAGGAAAGATGTATACCGATTCAGGCACATCACAGTAAAAATTCGAGCTCGATATATTGAGCCGACGAGTAGTTAGCTTATGATTATGGATGTGTCTGTCTGTCCCAAATTTCTCCGCCGCTTCAAATGCTAGGAAGTTCGGATCGGTTTTAAAGTGTAGGCAAGATCTGAGGCTACAACTTAACAGAATTCGATTTTTAATTCGCTTCTAATTTGCATTTTTTGACAGCTGTTTCGGTAAAATACCGAAAAATCTTCGGGCTCCAGATATAGAACGGGTAGCGATTAGTAAAAATTAAAGGAACGATCAAAAAATCAGGATCTGTTATGTTGTAGAACCAGACCTTGGCTACATTTTCAAACCAACCCGAACTTTCTAGTATTTAAAGCGGCGGAGAAATTTGGAATAGACAGACACATCCATAATCTTAAGCTAACTGCCTGTAGACTCAGTGTATCGAGCTCGAATTTTTACTGTGATGTGCCTGAATCGGTATACATCTTTCCTCAAAATTTCATCAAGATTGGATAATCTAAAACGAAAATAAATTTCTGAGGAGGGATCTCCCTTAAGCGATTTTGCTTGTCAACATTATCTTTTCTCTTATTTATACTTTTTAAAACTTTCTTTCTACCTTCTCTCTACTTTCTTTTCACTTTCTTTTACTTTCTTTTTACTTTTTTGTGTACTCAAAAAGTGAGTACACTACTAAAATCGGTCAGTGTG